AGAGAATCCCAAGAACCTTGTCTCTACCCACCATCAACCCTGTCACATAAGGCTTCACCCCGCCCCCCCATAAACAAGATCCCAACCCAGAAGCCCTATTCTCCCCATCCCCAGTCCAGATAGTAAGGGGTAAGTCCTATTCCCCTCCACACTCTAACCTGCAACCCAGAGGGACAGAACACTTTCACAGGGTTCAGATTTGGGGGATAAGCTGGGGGTGGTGCATAGGACCATTCTCAAAGCCCCTCCTTGACTCTGGTTTATATCCTATCCTTTCTCTCTCCCCAGACAAACACCAGCCTAAGTCGTGAATGCTTGGAAAGACTAAACCTACCTTCGTTTAGCATGAATAACGAACCCCTGGGTTTCCTCTAGACAACATCCAAGTAACTGCCAGTTCTGCTCACCTCACACCTACTCTGGGCCCAGCTCAGCTCCTATAGAGATCCTAGGCCACAAGAAGTCCCCCAGCAGGGATGATCATAGACCCTGATGATTCTAATAAAGCAAATGTGCCTCAAATCCATTTGTGACTGTGTAATTGCATGAGCTACTGAGTATATGAAGTGTGTGCCACTGCATGACTGAGGGAAGGTCTGGGAAATACTGGAATTGGAATTCAAGCCCCAGACTAGAGTACAGGCCCCAGCTTTTCTCCTTACTAATGATGTGACCTTAGCCAAATTATTCTCATTCCTCAATTTCCCTATTTGCAAAAAGGGCATAATTAGATAATCTCTAAGGCTTATAAACCCAGCTTATAAAATTCTGTGATTATGCATCTATTGTAATTGTGTGTTACTGTGTAATTGTGCTTAACTATAATTGTGTGTCATTTTGTGTGACTATAATTATGGCATATTATTGAGTACACTACATCACACTGTACAACTTCCTGGATATTCCTGATGCAATTGTGTATCACATGTATACCGAGATATGTGACTTACAGTGTCTATGCATGTCATTATGAGTCACCTTGTGTAATACTCACTATCACACTCCCATGGACCAAGGCCCATTTTGTGAGAACTAACCAGGCTCTTATACATATGCACTACCCCACCTTTCACCTCTTTCCTTCCATCTAACCCCTCCCCTGAAGGGCAATTCTGAGTACCACATGGTCCAATTGTAGCCTCTGGAGGGTGCCAAAGCTCTTTCCGTCCTGATGCATGAGCGGAGCTCTGCCTGAACCCTTTCCAGGAGAGTAACACATGGACCAAAGACACAAAACCCACCTCCAGGTTCATCTCCCTCTGAGACTCCTTTTTCAGTTCTAGAGACCTCTGCCTAGGTCCCAACTCAGTCTCACTCAGCTCCTCTCAAAGTTCCGTTTCCACTATCTCCTCATCCTAGCTCCTACCCTAGCCCTCCCTAGCCCTCTTTTTAGGGTGTTTCTCAGTTCCCTTCTCTATCTGTCTTCCTCCCTTATGCCTCTCTGTCTCTATCTCCCACTATGTCTATATTCCTGTGTCCCTGCTTTTTTACTATCTCTCTTTCTCCCCTTCATTTCTACTTCTTTCAAATCTCCTTCCATCTCTCACTTCCTTCATTCCCCCCAATCCCAAGAAGATGTTACCTAGAGACCCACCTTCCCCCACACCCAATCACCCAGCTCCTTGACCCCACTAGAGTTTTGGGTCTGTCCTGGTTTCCCCGGACAATGACTGCTACCTTCCAAAATGCTTGTGCTCTTTAACGCAGTGTCATACTGACCCATTCTGTCTCAGCTCTTGCTCCCTTTTTCAACCCCTGGGTACTTGCTCATCCTTTATATAAGGGCATGAAAGTTTAAGTTTAAATCACCCTCAATCCATCCACCTCTAAAGTCCATTAGCACCCATAGCCCCAGTGAATGAGAAGTCATAGACACCAAGCAACCAACCCAGAGGCAGATAGACCTATAGATGGCACAGCCACGGCCAGGCACAATGGGGACCAGTAACCCAGATAAAATCATGGGATAGGATAGAGACCAGGGTCTGAACATAATGGCAGGGCCCAGCTTGGTTATACTAGGACCAGGAGCTAGAGACACAGGCTATAAGGTCAAAACCAATAAGTTGGGCATGAAGGATAGGCAAAATGGAGGTACAGTCATACCATCTCAAAGCTAGAAGGAACTTCAAAGTTCAATTGCCTGTCTGATGCAGGGATCCTCTTTAAAATATCTATAACTTCTCAAACACTTAAATATGTGAGACTTAGGAAAGTCTCCTTATTGGCCTGAACCTTTTCCAAGAGAGTAACACAAGGACCAAAGACACAAAACCCAACTCCAGGTTGGAAAGCAGAAGAATACTACACAAAAGGGAAAGAGGTGGACAGCTGACTTTTAGAGCAAAGGGGGAAAAAATATTTGAATGGGGAAATAGGGTCATCAGCAGAAGGATAGAATCACCTGGGCAGATGAGGTTACTTGGAGAAGGGAGTTAAGTCAGAGTTTCGAATTAGGAAAAGGACCAGGTCAGTGAAGGGGCAGAGGGTCAGTGATGAGAAGTCACTAAAATACAAGGTCATGGGGGGACATCGTGAGTGCGGCAGCGCAATGAGGAAAACTCATTAGTGAGAAAAAATCTCCCAACATTCCTTAGACTGCAGGTGAGAACCTTAAGAAACCAAGAGGACCTCAGAGTATCTGTTCCCACACTCAGACACAAAGAACTACAGACAGGCTCACATACACACACACACACACACACACACACACACACCTCGTTTGAGACTATGACACAAAGAAAGTGTTCAATGCTCTCAGTCCCAGAGGTTGCCAACATTAACCAAATATTCATATTCATACTTCTCAACTGCAACTTACCTTCTTCTTCTACCCAGGTATTTAGCTCTTATCATCTAAATCAGGCATTCACCCAGAGAGCACAAGAGCTCCTGGATGGCAATGGGTAGAGGAAGCAAAGAGATCCCCAAGGGCTTATACCCTCAGATGTTCAACCTCAGCCAACAGAATGACTTTCATTCAGCTGGCCTTGTTGCTGGCCCTTAACACGGTTTGAATACCCAAGGGTAGAACAGGAGGGACAATGGACACAGATCACCACAGAAAAAGGTTCACAATCTTCTGGCTCATCAGCTAAAATACATACACTTCAGTCTGTGTCCTGGAAATACAACCTCTTTTCACCTGTGGATTGGGCTCATTTCCTAAAGCCAGAGCTCCTCATAGAGCCCATTATCAAACTCTACCATGATATCCTTCAGCAGACTCCACAAATGCTTCTTCAAAACCACAGTGACAGAGAAGGGAGGAGGGGGTCAGTGAGGGAGGACAGCCCTTGGGGTATATGTTGTGTTTGACTCTGTGTATGCATGCATGATGCATTGTAGGGCGTGTAGGGAGAGAGAGAAAAAGAGAGAGAGAGTACATGTGGGGGTGTTTGTGTGCCTGCATGTGTGCGTGCATGCGGGTATATGTGCATGTGCATGTGTGGATATCTATGAGAACATCCAGCCTAGGCTTGGGCTTCTACCACCAGAGGGCAAAGCAAACCCTCTCTGACACAATTGAACTCATACACAGGCAATGGCTTAGTCTAAAGGTTCCCAAACTTATTTCGCCTACCTCCCCCTTTAAAAAACAAAAATTAGTGCCCCCATGGAAATCTACATTCTTTGACCCTTTAATTTTTTTTTATTTGTGTCATTTAAAAAAAAAGTTTTTTAAAATAACACATCTTGAATTTAATAATTTATTGTAAATTTGTGGGGGTTTTCCTACATTGAAATTTTGATGACACAATATTGCTTCACGTAACTGTATAGTACTATATTGTAAAAAAGTATTTACACACACATATTCTTGTTGATGCATGCTAGACTTCCCAAAAATGCACAACATGCTTGCCTGCCAGCACTTGCTTGTTAAGACCTGTTGGGGGACTTGACCACTGATTAGTTATAACTTGCGTTTTTTGTGTTTATGTGGAAAATAATGTAATTACTATAATTTTAACTCTGTTACATAACAGGTGAAACATGTATGAACAGTTTTTCAAATTTTTCTTCTCTTCCCTTCTTTCCTTATGCTTCCACTGCCCTCTTATTTATATTTAACACCCACCAATTGCACACAAGGCTACAACAGCCCCCTGGATCATTCCAGCACCCCCCAGGCATCAGTATTGCCCACTTTAGGAACCTATGGCTTAGACCTATTGGACATGAGGGCCTCTCTTCAACAAACAACTTGCTTTCTCCACAAACTCATGCTCTACCCTTGGAGGCTAAGAACCAGAGGATTATGAGACCTTCCAGGAGCTTAAACAAGTTCCCTCTGGCCTGTAGGCCTGCCAGGACCACTGCCTTGCCTAGGGAAAGAATCTGGGGGTGGGAGGTTGGTGGCCACAGCCAAGTACACCCAAATAAGAAAAAAAACTACCCATTCACTTCTCCCCAATATCCTTCTAATATCAGAATGTGTGCAGCAGCAATTGCCTGAGGAAAATTGGTGTTATACTAATTCAGTCATTGAGTCTTCAGGCCCCACCCTGTGGCCAGTGCTCTTATTGCCATCAATATGCAATTATGTGCCCCTAGTTTGTGATTACATGCTCCTGTGCAAGTAATTGTGTCTGCATGCGGGTTTGTTTGTTTCTTTCATCATTCTGGTTGTGGCTTAGTGCATTGATGCGACTATAGAAGCCACCAGTCACCAAGGCAAAGGAGGGACAACTCAATGGATAGGGTCTTCTTTTTTTTTTTTTTTTTGCTTTTGTTGTTGCTATGATTACTTCCCAAATTTTTTTTTTACTCTGAACTTGACAAATACCAAATCAAATTAGCATTTCCATGGTCAAAGTAAAACAGGACAAGAATTAAACTTAAAATCACAAATATCTCTTAAGTATAATTTGCTTCTCCTTTTAAGCATCCAGTAGATATAACTTCAATACACAATAATGTGTAATTTTAAAACTGTCCTGATTTTCTGTGTTTCCTTCTGGCCTTTTTTTATTCATTTTTAAAAATACTTTAATGACTTCCCCCCCTTTTTCTGTTTTTATCAATCTGTCTGCAGTCCATTTCTCCCTGTCATCTCCCAACTCACTAGTGAAAAAAAAGGAAAATAAAAAGTTTTTAAGGAATATGATCTTCAACCAAATTCCATACAGTTAACGCATGTAGCTACTGTTTCTTTCCATGATCTTTGAGCAGAAGTTTAAATGGGAGGGCACAGATAGAGTCTGCTTAAGGTTACGGGAAGCTTTCCTGCATTCATCTCCAAATATTTCATAGATAAATGACAGTCTTTCTAGGTCACTCAAACTGCCCAAACCAGCATCCTCAAGGTTGTGACCTGATGACTGAACTAGGTATGAGATAACAATATGTGTATATAAGACAGAGACAGAAGAAAGACTGACACAGGGGCGAGTGTAAGAGAGGAAGAGATAGAAAGGAATTGAAAGACAGAGGTAAATGTGCTTCAAAGAGAGGAAAAGGAAAAGAGAGTAAGGAGGTGTGAATGTGTCTGAGAGTTCTGTGTGAGAAAGATAGAAAAC